CACAGAAAAGTAATAAACTCTATAGATATTTAACAGTAAACACGTTGTCATGTCATCATACAGCCTAGCACTCAAATACACTCAGATTTTGGTCAGCTAGGGAAAATATCAAATTATTTTAAAGTGAGAAGGGGAATTAGTATTTACGCGACTGGGTAAAAAATAAGAAATCACTAAGAAAAGTCTGATTGCTGTTCATGAAGTGAAACTGAAAATTGTCTAGTTCTAATAAACATGTATACAAACATTCTTTGTGTGTATATATTGCATTACAGGCTTCATTTATAATTTTTTAACTGTTGATTTTCATTGTTTTTGAAAGGGGACAGACGGAAGAAATACATGTAATTGACACTTTACCTGAAAAATCTTTGACAAGCTAAAAAAATGCTCTGGAAAAATGGGAGGGGGCAACCCCAATCCACGCATTCTACAGGCCTGTCTTTTAAGGTTGATTTTGTAACTAAAGGATTTTTTTTTAAAGAATGGCTGGCTCTCCCCACTCTCATCCAACGATACTGTATTGTATACTCAAATATTTTTCTTCCGAAAATGATAGTATGAATGGAATCTGTCCTCCCCCTGACTATGGATATTTTTCAATCCCTGTTTTCCTTCTTCATTTTTCCATAAGTATTTTGGTATTTTTCTGCATCCCTCCCAATTTTTAAGTGCCTAAAGTTTTTTAGCTCACCTGAGCTGAAAGCTCAAGTGAGCTTTTCTGATCACCCGTTGTCCGTCGTCCGTCCGTCTGTAAACTTTTCACATTTTCAACTTCTTCTCAAGAACCACTGGGCCAATTTTAACCAAACTTGGTACAAAACATCCTTGGGTGAAGGGGAGTTTAAATTGTAAAAATGAAGGGCCAAGTCCCCTTCAAAGGGGAGATAATCAAGAAAAGACAAAAATTGGGTGGGGTCATTAAAAAATCTTCTTCTCAAGAACCACTGGGCCAGAAAAGCTGAAACTTATGTGGAAGCATCCTGGGGTAGTGTAGATTCTAAATTGTTCAAATCATGACCCCCGGGGGTAGGGCGGGGGCACAATAGGGAATCCAAGTTTTACTTTGAAATATGTAGAAAATATCTTTAAAAATCTTCTTCTCAAAAACCACTGAGCCAGAAAAGCTGAAACTTATGTGGAAGCATTCTGGGGTAGTGTAGATTCTAAATTGTTCAAATCATGACCCCCAGGGGTAGGGCGGGGCCACAATAGGGAATCCAAGTTTTACTTTGAAATATATAGGAAAAATCTTTAAAAATCTTCTTCTCAAGAACCACTGGGCCAGAAAAGCTGAAACTTATATGGAAGCATCCTGGGGTAGTGTAGATTCTAAATTGTTCAAATCATGACCCCCAGGGGTTGGGCGGGGCCACAATAGGGAATCTAAGTTTTACATTGAAATATATAGGAAAAATCTTCTTCTCAAGAACCACTTGGCCAAAAAAGCTGAAACTTATGTGGAAGCATCCTGGGGTAGTGTAGATTCTAAATTGTTCAAATCATGACCCCCGGGGGTAGGGTGGGGTCACAATAGGGAATCCAAGTTTTACATTGAAATATGTAGAAAATATCTTTAAAAATCTTCTTCTCAAAAACAACTGGGCCAGAAAAGCTGAAACTTATGTGGAAGCATTCTGGGGTAGTGTAGATTCTAAATTGTTCAAATCATGACCCCCAGGGGTAGGGTGGGGCCACAATAGGGAATCCAAGTTTTACAGTGAACTAAATAGTAAAAATCTTTAAAAATCTTCTTCTCAAGAACCACTGGGCCAGAAAAGCTGAAACTTATATGGAAGCATCCTGGGGTAGTGTAGATTCTAAATTGTTCAAATCATGACCCCCAGGGGTTGGGCGGGGCCACAATAGGGAATCTAAGTTTTACATTGAAATATATAGGAAAAATCTTTAAAAATCTTCTTTTCAAGAACCACTTGGCCAGAAAAGCTGAAACTTATGTGGAAGCATCCTGGGGTAGTGTAAACTCTAAATTGTTCAAATCATGATCCTCGGTGGTAGGGCGGGGTCACAATAGGGAATCCAATTTTTACATTGAAATATATAGTAAAAATCTTTAAAAATCTTCTTCTCAAAAACCACTGGGCCAGAAAAGCTGAAACTTACATGGTATCATCCTGGGGTAGTGTAGATTCTAAATTGTACAAATCATGACCCCCAGGGGTAGGGCGGGGCCACAAAAGGTATAACAACGTAGGAAATCAGGTGAAGAACAGCAAGGCCAATGTTACTCAGGTGAGCGTTGTGGCCCATGGGTCTCTTGTTTTAGTTTTTTTTTGGCTTATCAATCATTTTACTACCCCCTGCTCCCCATTGCATATACACATTTTGAGAAATGGTGCTATGTGCCTGTTTTATATGTATGTATAGGAAGCCTTTCCAGGTTGAAAATTTTCCCTAGATAATATAAAATTTGATAACTATACAATTTCTTGTATTTTAAGAGAATCTGTAAGGATTACTTGAAACCCTAACTGCAAAATTGTGGATAAATATTTTTTTGCATTTTCATACAAGTATACACACACACACACACTCTCTCTCCCTCTCGTGTAAGCATACGTAAGAGCAATAAAGCGTATAAAATCTGATGTACTACAAGCAAGTTAAAATCATGGGAAATGCTTTACAAGGGCAGATCAAGGAATTTTTCCAGAGGTGGGTGGGTCAAACCTGCTGAAAAAAAAGTCTCATTTTTTGACAAGCCAAAAAATAAACAAACAAAAATAAAACAAAAAACAAACAACACACCTAAACACCCAAAAGGGGAACTAAACAATTGTGAAAACTATATTTCACGGAAATGGAAACTGTACACCATTCTCACGAACTTTCCAGAGGGAACGAAGTCATTTTTTTGTTATTTTATACCTATTATATTACAAGAAGAAAACAATAAACAATATTAAAATTTTAAAAAAACACTTGGGGGGGGGGCACTCTCAGAGGCCCATAGCTTTCCTTTCCTATAAACTTTGACTATTAACATGATTAATTATTGCTAGCGCTCTCGAGCGCTAGCAACTACGTTAGTCTATATTTCTAGAATACGCATGCTCAACTTCACGGTCGGGCATTCTGGGAAAACTACTGTAGATAGACTGTGCGATAACAATTTCGTTTTGTCATACAAATATAGATATGGTCAGAATTTACACTAGCCTTTCCTGTCTGATATGTGCGATATACATTTCTTACGTTAGAGACAGGCAATACCAGTCTAGATCCGGATTCTGATTTTTTTTTAATTTATTGTCGAACCTACTCATAAAAGTACAAGAAAAACTTAGGTCATATAATGCCAAGATTCTTGACATCTAGCTTTCCTCACAGTTATACCACCTTCCTGGGTAATTTCGGCAAGCTCGGAAAAAAAATCTTTTCAGAGTATGTCGGAAAGACATGTCAGTTTAGTTTTTATCATCTGAAAATACATATGATCTGAAGTTTCGTGTTTTGTTGTCTATTCTGCACGTAAATGAACAAAAAGTAACAGTTACTCGGGTCTTATAAAACGAAGACTGTTATTTCTAAAATTGTAATGAATACCTAGCTTTTCTAATTTACCTTCATTGATTTTTCCGGCAAGTTCGGAAAATCGCCGCAACCTCGGATATGTTTACCGAGCTTGCCGGAAAGTTCCGAGAAGATGCGATTGCTAAAAAACAGTACCACACTGGAATATTTTAAACTAGGTGCTCATTGGTTCTACTGACCTTTTTTTTTCACCTCCAAATTGAAATTACAGTAGAATACAGAATGCTTAAAGCACAGTTAGGAGTTATGCCATTGCCGACGTGAAGCCCACTCTTAGATTTACCATTCTGAATTATGACCCCCCCCACCCCCCGACTCAACCCCCCAGTGCTCCAATGTGCCTTCTTATTAATAATTAATCGATTCAGCAAATTTAACAAATGGTTCAGATATCTTCTGTATTTTATTATGCTACAGCGCTAGCTCACCAATCTTTTTAAAAGATAAGCTTGTATAATATTTAAAGAAATTATACACATGCATGCAACCATATTGTAATCATTCAGTCACATTACAAACTTTCTTTCAATATCTAGAACATGTAAATATGTGTAATTGTTAAAAAAAAAAAAAAAACTTTATGTAATATAATAATTAGTACTTTTGCATCACCACGTGATAATATTCAACAATGCGAGAATGGTTGAATCTCCTCACTTTACATTTGGGTACACGGTTAGAACTATTTCAATTATCATGATTATCAATGTTACTTTCATATAATTATATACTAATAATGTAATACATGTACTTACTCAGCTTCAGTTTAAACAAAAACATGTACTGTAGATTATCTTATATACACATAATTATGTCTGTTCTTGTTGGTAATTGTATCAATCATGCTTGTAATCTGTGATGCCTGAAAGGGCCCTGATTTGAAAATAATCTTTGTACAGAAACAAATTGTTCAGTGAGTGTAAATTTACGATATATTAGTTTTAGTTTTATATCTAAAACAGTTGAAGCCAGTTCATTGTACATATTTAAATATATTTGATCAAGGAAAATCCGAATTTTTTCCGACGTTTGTTTAAAATATATTGAAGAATGTATTATACATATTCCACCCCCATCCCCCTCCTTTAATTTTCTTTAAAAGATGTAAGATCCGTAACAAGAATGTATGTAATGAATTGACTCTTAGAGCAAAGTGATTTTTATTCCCTGTGACTTTAAAATATATTGTAAACTTAATGGATATAACGAATTACACTTATAATGAAGCAAAATTCTCCATCCCTGGCACTTCGTTACAAGCATGTTTTACTGTAATTCTTACAAAATTTTGTGATAAAATATCAGGAAAAAGATGACTTTTGGTCACAAAACTCACCTGAATGGGATTGCATGCATAATTTTATTTTAAATTTCTTCAACACTAAATATTCTAATGGTTAAATTTCATCAAACAAACAGCCCTAGGAATCAACACTTTAAATTACCTCAATTAAACACCAAATCCTCCTTCCATTCTCATAGTTGTACAACACTTCTTCTTCATGTAAGTCCTTTCTTGTCAGCATGTATATGCAACTGTTTTCTTTTACCAAAACTTTTAATTCGATCCATTGATTGATTTGTTTCATTTTCATTGTTGACATCTGTAGGGAAATAAAAGTTTCATAATTACATGTATTTTAATCAAACTCAAAAGTACCTCTCTTAACAGATTATTAATCACTCTAAAATCTAAATGTTTTCTTTAACATGAAAATAAGTCATAACAAACACATTTTTAAAATATAAACATGATAAATATACTTTTTTTTAATCTGTAATCTATTGTAGTAGAAAAGGAATGTATAAAGAAAATAAAAGGTTGGAATCAAACTAAGGACACCTGTTTCACTAGTCAAATGTTCTAACCACTGAACTATCAAGGCTGATTCATATAGTCTAAACTACTATTTTGTTCACTCCTTCAACAGTCTTTGATCTCAAAGACACGTAACAAGTTCACATATCTGGAATTAATCACAAGCCCCCACCCCCCCATCACACCTTTGTTGGAAATTAAAGGAAGCTTTAAACACTGCTCACTGAAGAGTTCTACATTTAGTATAGGTATCTCTAAATACCTTAAAGTATGCAGGACTGCAATCATGTGTTGTGGGTTTGTGTTCAGTAAAGTGTGCAGAGTTATGCCTAGGTCACATTTAAGCCGATGGTCAGGCAAATCAAATTTTTGTCATATTGTCGGCTTAAAAACATGATCAGCCGACAGTAGTATCGAGCGACGTGGAGCAGTCACATTAATTCCTAAGAACACTGATAATTTTCAAAAATTACATAATTCTAAGTTGGCCAACAGTCGCCCAATCATCGTTCACTAAGCCACAGTTTGATTTTCACCATCAGCCAACATTTACAAAAACCCAATTCCAAAAATGTTGACCCATCGACGACCGACTTTAAGAACTGTCTACCAATGTTCGGATGATGATTGAAGGTTGGTCGACAGACTATTGTACAACTGCTTCAATTGAAGGAATCGGCCACCAACGCAGAGAAAATTATAACATGGACCAACAGACACAAAATTGGTAGGCTGACAAAAGAAGAGGTCAAAATCGGGCAAGACAATGGCAGATGAACAGCTGACTGTTGCCTGAAGAAGGTATTTTTGCCTCAAAAACTGTCGCCCGTTGATCTTTTTTGGAAAGTGACTGGGGTTTTTGAAAACATGTAAACATTAAAACATAGACACTTTGAGGTATTGAGAGTAAATAACAACAAATTATGCATATCAAGACTGCATTTTGACTTAGAGGGATCATGGATTTCTGAATCAAGAGACAGAGAGTTCAAGAGATCAAACATAAATTTGCTTAGTTATATAAGTAAAAATATCTTAGTGGTCACCTTTTCATCACCTGAAAAATTGGAATTTCCCTGTTAATTAACTACCATTTTGCTTTCTTCTTTGTTTCGTTCAAAATTCATTTAATTTTCCCTTTTTTCTCACCATTTTTGCAATGAGGTCAGTCATATTTGTTAAAGGATTTTGTCTCTAATGCAAGGAGTAATTCTATATCTGTATCTACATAACCACAATTCAGATCATAATAGAATTTGGCATACATATTACATTTAAATCTTTACATTTGCTGCATGTTTATGACATCATGGTATGAAAATGAAGTCAATATATTGATGACTTGTGTCAAAACCAGAAGTCTCTGATGAGACTGTAGCTCTTCTGGTTTGCACTTTAACAATTTTTTTTTTAAATAAATAATTTTTAATTCGACAATTTCAATATTATTGTGTGTGTTAATTAATTTAACATGTTATAAGGAATATTGGACCATAATCTGTCGTTGTAAGCTGGCAACACAGAGAAGAGTAATTCGAAATGCAAGTCATGTACACTAAACGAAAGTAGGGTCCTGAATAAGTCCCGTGCATCTCATCATATCCGGAGTCCACTGTACTGGGTTTCTGGTCTTTGTTATCAACTAAATTTTTGTTTTGTAATACAGAGGAATATGAATAGCAAGTTTAGTTATTACAGATCCAACCATATTTTCATTAATTTTAGGGATAAATGACTACTGGGAAAATTAACACATTCAATTGGGAAGAAAGGTACCTCTTTTGAATTAGGAATGGGGCCCTTGAATGGCCCTAATTATAGACAATCGAGAGCCCTAAGGCATCCAGGTGTGGTTCCCCGACAGCTTGGCGAAACGAATTGAATAACTATCCTACTCCCCCCCCCCCCCCCCCCCCCCGGGTCCTTAATTCTAAATGTTATATGCAAAGCCAGCTGTTATAATACTGCTAATTTCTTTTCCAAAACTGGTTGTTTTACCATTACTTTCATCACCATGTCTCAAAGAAAAATCCAAAAAATTTCAAGTGAGCAGTGTTTTCAATAAGAGCCGGCAACCGGCAAAATTAACCGCCTGTACAAGAAATTTTGCCGGCTATGAAATTTCCGTAATTGGGATTTTTCAGGGGTTGGTACGCGAAATCCGTAGATTTTATCGCGACTATCTACATATTCTAGAGTAACTTCCCTTGAGTGCGCTCTTTTTCATGGAAGTTTGATAACTACTGAACAAGGCAGTTCAAGGCTACAACTTGCGAGAGTAAAGTTTGAAGAATAAATTTTTAACGAATAATTCCAACCTCATATAAAATTCACAACTCAGCGATCAGGATTTAACTTTAGCTATACAGGATATGATCAAGATTATTGGGAATTTGAGGCTTCATTGACGCAAGCGCGTTAAGCGTCAGGTATCTACGGCCTAAAATGTTGAACAGGAAAATATGTTTAGTGTTGTTTTTTTTTTTTTTAACATTCACTGTCACTTCACAAGCTAGGTCAAGATTATTACAACAGCAAATATTTATTCTAGACGATATAATTGTAAGACCTTACAAATAAAAGTCTTATTTTTTCAATTGTGACTGAGACGTGGGAGAAAGGAATTCTTACCGAATTTCCTCAAATTGAAAATGTAAATTATTATTCTCGTTTATTTGTGTAAGCTCTCTTGAAATACGGGAACAATTTAACTTTTCACAATTAAGAAGGTTTTTATGTACTAGTAATTTGTATTTGTATCCATTTTCTTAATTATTTCCTTCTGACAATCCGTACAAAATAGTAAATAAATTTAAAGATTTATGATATTTTAGTCTGCAGATTACAGATTGCAGAATATTTCAATTTTGGGGGGTTTTGTACGTCACTAAGAGTTAAAAAGTTTTTTAATTTTTAAATAAATTATTACCTTAATTTTGAATAATTTTCCTGACTGGTTAATGTGAAAGGGACTAATTATGCAGCATTTTCAGTATGAATTGAAATTCTAACACAAACAATTGTCTGTCAGTCTGTTAAAAGTCCATATAACAAATCAGTGAAAAGGTACAAATTGTTTTCTAAATGGCTTTAATAGGTAAAATTTGGTATATAGTGACAGAAATATGAAAAAAAATTATTGGCCTGAGAGGTAAGAAAAATGAGCCAAAAATGCCAATTTTCGTTTTCGGCCGGGGGGCTTCGCCCCCCTGGGCCCCTACCAGGGCTCTGCCCTGCACCCGCTGGGGGCCTGAGGCGGCCCCCTGACCCCTCGCCGAGATTGGTTTCCTGCTGTTGAATATATCTGTTGAAAATCTTATTGAAAACACTGGTGAGAAAAATAAAAATTCTTTCCGATGGTCATGAACATACACCTGCCTACCAATACATAACTATAAACATGTGGTAAGCACTTTTTATGGCTGTAATGTATTACCAAACATTTTCTAATGTAGTAGGTTATCATTACAGAAAAAGTTAAAACCTGCAGTTTTTAACACACTGAAATTGGATTCCACGTACAAATACTAATTACAGTTTGTGTACACAATGTGGCATGATTATCTCATGCAGAAAGACGATGGGATTAGTTAGTTATGCATCATTGCATATGATACCTGTGAAATTGATTTGAAACTACACTTCTTTGTCAACTTATTTAGTACATACTTGTCTTGTTTAAGGTAGTTCTATACTCAGCCCTAAATGAGCTCAATATTGAAAAATTTGCTTTTATAAGATAGACATATATCCCAGCAATGGAAAAGCATAAAAAAAAATTATATGTCAACATGTTTATTTTTCTGCTATGGCCTCTCAGACTATATACCCCGAAATGTAGAATACTGAAAATGTACCTATCCATGATTTTGTCTATATATCAGAATTCAAATCTAAACAGTCAACTTTAATACACAGAATAGAATAGAAAAATGTTAAGGAACCATATTTAGTCATTGTTTTGCGTGAATTATTTTAAATATGTGCACTCTGTTAGGCTAACGTATCAAAATTTAGTACAAGAAAATATGCTTCACAGGTCAGTCTCAGTCTTTTTAAAATATTTTTATGGACTCAATCTTCAAAAATTTGCTTTCTTTTTACTAAATAACATCTAAGGAATAAGCTAAAAAAAATTATATGTTGACACATTATTTCATGATATGGGCTCTGAACTGGGGGGTGTATGCGTCTTATGTAATAAGTATTATTCAAGATAAATTTGCAATGTTTGAAATAAAAAAATTTGTCACTGTCAAATCATAGCAACTTCTTTTCTTGCGAACTATCAGTGTTACAGTAGCTTCAACTTGTCCGCTGACAACAGTCTGTCTGTCGCATTGATTTGATATTTGTAGCATACTCGTCCATGTTATCAGCATATTCTCTTCTACAGAAAAGTCATTTATATTACATCTTTATTACCTTATCGTCTTTCTGTCAACCGAAAGTATTTTCCAGCCTTCCCTTTTTTTTTTTTATTAATTTCTCCTTAAACAGAAACTGTATAAGCAATGTTTGTAAGTTTGTTGACGCGACCGACTCAGAACAAAATTGTTACCGGATATTTAAAACGCCAAGTAAAAGTCAAACCAATATAGTTTAAAAAAACACATCTCGGAAATAAGGAGTGTGGTTCCGGTTTTACTATTCGTTAGTGATGTAGTGCGAGTATTGGTCTAATTTAATGACATTGTTACATAACTTAGCTAATAAAAAAGAAATATCACCTCTTTACTTGACTACTGACGACATATTTATTATTTATTTGGTACATTATCAGGTCTGGACGATTTCCAAATATGGAAGTCAAGAACGATAACTGAAAGTTGCCATTAATATAC